AAAAAAAAAAAGGCAGCAACAAAACATATGTATTGACCAAATATACAAATGTGTGTATTGTTATCATTGCTGCTGCCGCTGCCGCTGTTTTTAAGTGTTTCTGAACTCTTTTCTTTTTTTGCTTTGCAGTCTTAGGGTGTGTGTGTGTGTGTGTGTGTGACTCCGCGTGTTTGGGTGTTTGGGTGGGTGGGAGTCGTACCGGTGCGCACACGGAGTGCGTATACACCGGCCCTTCGTTGTGTGTTTCCCGCCTTAAAGGGAGAAAGAAGAAAAAAAGAAAAAAAAAGGGAGTTGAAAAGCAATTGGAAGTGTAACGGGAGGGGGAGAATGAGCACCGACGGGGTGGCGTCCGTAGGGGAGGCGACCGCGTGCCACGTGGCGCGGATCGTGAGCCGCCTTGAGGGTCGTTCTTTTGATTCCGCGCACCGCGACGAGGGGGGCACCGGGGAGTGTGGGCCGTTTATGCAGCGGCTTTTGTCGGTCGTCGAGGAGACACGAGCCGATAGGCGCTTGGACGACGTCTTCAGGCGCGCACACTCAATTTTTGAGCCGCTTTCACAGGCGACTGTTGCGGCTGGGGACGATGCGGAGGCGTTGATGGCGGACGTTGCGTCGAGGGCAAGTCGTCTGGTGGTTGAGGAGGTCTTGCAGCCGTCTGACTCAACGAAGTCATCACCATCATCATTCTCAGAGTCACCATTGCGCACTCAGCAGGCCGCATGGCGCCGCACTGGGCAGTTCTCTCTGGGGATTATTCGAGAGTCCACGAGTGGTTTTTATTTTGCGCCGAGCACTGGCGCCAACAGAGCGCCGCAACGCGTGCCCGTTTTGCTGCAGCGACGAATTCCATGGCGGTGTAAGGCCAATGATGGGAGCGGGAGCCATGACGCGGTGGGCCGAGACTGTGATGCCGATAGCGGCCGCGAGGGGGGAGACGCACCAATGTTGTCGGGCGTCACTCTGCAGTGGGGCGCTGTCTTGGGTTTTCTTCAGTTGCTATCACGTGCTGTCGGCTTGACGACGTCGGTGGATGGAGAATACACGGCGGTCTCTTCATTGACCGAGGGCGAGCACTCGCTGCTTCATATTGTTGCAGACTCCATCATCGTCATGATGGAGCGCAACCACGCTTTATTACAAGAGGCACGCGATATGAATCAACTCGGCATGGCTGCCGAGGTACTAATTATTGCCGCGAATAATTTTGCATGGATTCGGCAGCGTTGTCAGCGGATTCCGATGGCAAATGCACGGGAGGTGGAGGAGATTCTCACGCAAAGCCTGGCGGGTGTTTTGCAAGACATTATTGACGGTTTTGTGGAGGAAATACAGTACATTCTTTCCATGTATATGACGTCGTCTGGTGGGGGCGGCGGTGGACGGCAGCGTGTCGTAACGCACAGTTTTTTGGCGACACGGGTAACCGCAATCTGTAGACTTTCCAATGGTCTGGTGCATTTGTTACCGCGGTGGGAGGTCATGTCAATTGTGCTGGAGCAGTCTTTGCGGCCCGTCGTGGAACAGCTGCTGGTGGGGGATAAACAGAATGACGTGGAGAGGGGCGGGATCACGACGGGCGTCTTAAAACGGGTCGGTGACATTTTTCTTCCGGCGGATGCGTTTTTGAGGCACGATGCGGCACATGTTGAGTCGGGCGTCGATGAGAACGGCAGCGGCACTTTGGCACAGCGGCTTTCAGAGGTGCTGCAGATTCTGGAAAGTGAGGAGGCGTTTGGGGCTTCGATTTGCCAGCGAAGCCCTCCGTTCCGCACCCTCCGGCGTCTGCTTCCAACAATGACCTTCTAAGCAGTCACTTTACAGACACACAGACACACACACACAGACACATGTAACTGACCAGCTGCTTTGCGGAATGGACGGCATGACCGGGAGGCGAGAGTTCATGTCGTTTTTTACCCTCTTTTTTTTTTTTTTTTTTTTTTTGCGTTTGTGTTTGTGACAAAATTTACTGTTTTTTTTTTTTTCTTCTCTTTTTCTCATACCTCCACACACAAACGTATGTGTGTTTCCCTGCCAATTCATTGAGTGGGAGAAAAGAAGGAAAAGGGGGTGCAAATCCGTCTGCATAAATTCCTCTGGAGGTAAACATGTCGAGGGAGCGCCGTGACGCCGCGTCGTCGGATGCGGGAGATGACGTCACTCCAGCCAAATTTAACTTTTCGGAGGGAACAGGAACACCGCTTGCCGAACTGCCGGCAGTGCGGGCGGTGGGGAACCGCGGTGCGGCATGGAAGCAATTAGAAACAGTGTTGGAGCCGTTGCACCGAATGGTGTTTGGTCGTCCAGGAAGAACTGGCGAGCGACGCCGTGCGTTGGAGCCATTTTGTGGCTTTCCAGAGGCGATGCGTGAAGTTGTATTGCAAAGCGTGCAAAAACTGAAGAAAGATAAGCTGCGGGAACTTATCCAGGCGCTTGGCATGCCTGTTCAATTCTCCATTACACATGCGCGGATGGCGGATGGCGTAGCGGCGTTTCTTATGCAACCTCATGTCGCCGGGACAAGGGTGAGTTCTCCCGGCAAAACGCCTCAGCCCCAAACGAGAGCCGTAAAACGGGAGCGAGCAACGACAGTGAGTGAAAGTGGTGGGGCTGCGAAAACACCAAAAAGAGAAGTGGACCCGGCAAGCACGGGGGCTGAGAACGTGAAGGAATCACCGAGGCGAATGAAGAACGAGATGCCCGTTGCGGAGAGTTCGTCTGCGGTGCAGCCCCCGAGTGATGACACCATTCGTGTCGCCGTGTACAAGCGGGTTCTCGCCACGTCACGCGCGGAGAGGAGTCATCTCACCACAAAGGCACTGCGTTTGGAGCTGGAACGACAATTTAGTGATCTTGAGGGGCGCAAGGTGGTCATCCGGGAGGCGGCATCGGAGTGCCTTGCGGCGTTGATCGCAGCAGAGGAAGCCGCCATCATTTCTGCCTCTCTTGGAAATGCAGCTGCTGTTGCAAGTCTCAACGGTGGCGACCGCACGGTGGAGCCTTCCCCGGCCCCGCATCCTCCTCAGTTTACGGAGCCACCAACTGTGAATGCTTCCCGCAGTCAGGCCCCACCGCCAGTGACACCAGACGGATCCGTTGCACTGAATTCATCCGTACCGACATTTCCTGCACACCCGCCGACAACACTGCCGACAGTTTCCATCCCGCCGCAGCTACCGCCAGGGGCACCCATGTTTTGAGCCGCGCGACCAAAGAAAAATGAATAATAATAATAATAATAAAACGAACGTATATAAATACACATGTATAAATATAAGTGTGCATATGCGCACTTTAAAAAGAAGCTAGCAAACACACAACGGCGAGAGAAAAGGAATTAGAAAAACAAAAACAAAAAAAAAAAAGAAAGAAAAGGAGAAGGAGTGTGTGTGTGTGTGAAGCGTGAGGAAAATGAAGGCGGCTTGTGGTTTCTTATGTTCCTTATGAGAGGGGAGAAGGGAGAGATGTAGGCTACTTGTATCCGCAGTAAAATCAATAGATGGATAACAGGAGTGAGCCACATGTATCTTTTGATTTTGTCATCATAGAAGAGACGATTGAGGTGCGTGTGTATGTTTGTAGGGGGTGGGGGAAGACAATACAATAGAAGCGAATTATCAAACAAAGAGTGGAATGATGTGAGGATGAAGAAGAATGAACAAGAAGAAGAAAAAAAAAAAAAAAAAAAAAAGGGACAACATCTGCGGAGCTTTGGATGGGACCTCTATATTCCCTTTGCTTTGTTAATAAATATATATATATATTTTCTTTTGTTAGTTGCTATTTTTTTTTTTTTTTTTTTTTTGTGTGTGGCGTGTGCGTTTGTGTACACACGGGACGCTTTGCGCCTTGCTCATTATTATTTATTTATTTATTTATTATTATTATTATTATTATTATTATTATTATTGCTATCATCATCATCATGATAGCTCTCCGTGCCCTTCTGCCCTCTTCCTTTTCTCACCTCACCCGCTGCCTTAAGAAGCCTCACTGCCCTTTCATTTCATCTTTGTCTTTTTTCCTTCTTCTCTCTCTCTCTCTCTCTTTCTCTGTGTGTGTGTGTGTGTGTTTTGCCTGTCGTTTTTTCTGTTCTGCGGCTTACGAGAGGCATTGGGTAGGGCGTATTGTTTGTTCTTGCCAAGTGACCGCAACGCAATCAAAGTGTGCCCATTCTCCAGCAGCAGCAGCACACAAACACACACGCATAGAAGAAAATTATATTGACATTGTCTCCCGCGCTGATGGGAGAGTGTCATCAAGCGAAGGAATGGAAAAAAATTGACTGGTGGAGTACTGGAAGGACGTGAAGCCACGCCCTTGCATCGGTTGAAAAGCGCAGGTGATACACCCATTGACGTTTTTCTGCGTTCGTTACGAATCCACTGCTATGGTGTGGAGGTCTTCCCTCCTTTTTTAAATTCTTTTTGGGAACGCGACCCAACGCGGTGTAATAAACGCCTGTTTCTACCTTAAGGCACTGGAAACGGCGGTTTGGGTGTGGACGGGAGAAAAAGAGCAGGCGCTGCCAATGTCCTGCGGGGTGAGGCATGTCGTCCCATTCACCAGCGCATTGCCGTTGCGATAATTGTTTTTTTACCTGTAGACATCACGTTGCCCATGAGACCAACCCACATCCCCGGTGCACGGCGAAAAAAGTCGCCGTCAGAGTTCGAGGGGTGAAAAAAAGAAGCGTTGAGCATGGCGACTGAACTCAGCCGAGCGATGGAAGAGTGACCATACGCAGCTGCGTACCTCTGATTCACTTTCGGAGGGATGAAGTTGGAGTTCACAGTCGTTTTGTGTTTGTGGTTGTGTGTTTTGAATTTATATTGATTGACTGCCATTTGTTATCGTTTGTAGCCTGATGTCTCTTTCTTGTAGCACTTCTCCCCTGCGTTATCTTTGCCTGCTACCACTCTGCGTTGCCAAATAAAGAGGGGGTGAGGGACGAGGAGGGGCACGTAAAGAACTCAAAAAGAAGAGGCACAGAAGGAAGGATGCAGATTTTTGTCAAGTCGGCAGCCGGCAAGACCAGCGCCATTCAGGCCTCGGCGCAGGAGACTGTCGCCAGCCTCAAGTCAAAGGCCGGTGTCTGCGATGGCACTCTCTTCTACGGTGGCCACTGCCTCTGCGACGAGGCCACCCTTGCCGATTACGGCCTGCAGCGCGAGAGCACCATCCAGGTGATGCTTCCCGTTGAGGGCGGTAAGGGGAAAAAGAAGAAGAAGAAGGTCTTCACGAAGCCTAAGAAGCCGATCCACCGCCATAAGCTGGAGAAGATGCGGGCTCTCAAGTACTTCAAGGTGACGGAAAACGACGACGGCTCCTTCAAGGTGGAGCGCACCCGGGACGAGTGCCCCAATCCGGTCTGCGGAGCTGGAGTCTTCATGGCTCAGCACAAGGATCGCAAGTACTGCGGCAAGTGCCACCTGACGTACGCGGCAAAGTAGGCCCATGCCGGATCTAAGGAGAGGGAACATGAAATGAGGAAGCGCAGCAAGCATTAGCGGAGTTGAAGCGCCACCAGCAATACATCTCTCCGGAGGGGGCTGTGGCAAGAGCAAACAGCGGCAGCGACGGAAAACCGAATTAAGTGAATGGTCCCACAAAGATCTCTTCGACCTCTACCGATTCAATTGTTTTGCTTTTATTGTTTTTATGTGCTTTTTTTTTGTATGTTTTTTTTTCTTTCTCTTGTTTGCTTTTTCTTTCATGTGTGGCGAGGACGACTCTGCAGGAGCCGTAAAGCATACACGTGGTCTCGCCGTGCAATTGCGTTCTTTTTCCTCTTTCCTTTATTATTTATTTATTTATTTTTTTGCCGGCTGCTTGCGTCTTTGGTGGGCTGCAAGGAGGCTCTCCGGAAAGAACAACAACAACAAAGGCCAAAATTACCTTCACAGAAAAGAGGAAGTGGGCAGAAACTACAAAACGAAAGGGGGAACGGATTATTATTTCTTTTTTTTTTTTTTTTTTTGGTGTGGCTATAGCGTGTTGTGTCTTATTCACAACTTTTGCTTCTTGAAGGTTGCAGAGAGAAAGAGAGAAGGATAAAGAGAGAAAAAAGGGGGGGAAGGGGGAGAGGCATTCTGTGTAATGCAGGAAAAAACGCAGCATCTGCTTGACGGCGTTGTGGGACTCACGTGTGTCGATCCTTCTTTGGATCTTTCCGTCTGCGCCGCACCTTTTGTAGTCTCCATTATCGTCCAGCAGTGTTTGTATCTGTGCCACGCGGCCTCGTCATGTCAGGCCCTCTTGAATGAGGGTGGCTCCTCTTTTTGGCATATTATGCGGCTTGTGACAGAGGCTCGCGCCCGCTATGCAGCATTGCGTGCCCCACCTCCTCCACGGCCTCTTTTTCGTAGGAGAGCTGCATCTCGTAGCAGAGGGCATACACCGTCTTTTGTTGCTTCCCGCTCGAATAGTCCTAGCGCTAGTAGCCGCAGGGGTTGTATTAGTAGTGGCCGTTGTGGAAGCAACAGCAAAAGTGACAATACCAGCAGCAACCACCGTACCAACAATTACGACACGCCATGCTCTTCACCCGGTCTTGTGACATTCTTTCACGAACAATTGATGCTTTCACCACTCGAATTTCGCGTTGTTGTGGTTGGTGGTGGCAGAGTTGGGCGGGCTGTTGTGGAGCGTTTACTGCAGGCGTCGTATCTTATTCACCCGTCTCGAATCACCATCATCACACGGCAGACCGAGACCGTCGCGCAATTTGCGGGTCGTGGAGTGCAGTGTACTGAGCGTCGCGATGGGCGCCAGGCTCTGCTGGAATGCCATGTTTTGATTGTGGCGTGTCAGCAGACGCAATTTAATGACTTTGCAACCACGTACTGTCCGCGCCACACCCAAAACACGGCGGGGTCTACGGCAAAGGCTGGGAACAATTCCGAGAAGCAAGAAGACATTTCTTGTGAGAAGAAGCGATTATGCCGATCCAAGAAACGGACACTGCGAGACGTTGTGGACAAATGGCGCACCATAGAGGATGACGATTACGCAAACGGCGCACCAGGAGCCGCAATGACGAGATTATTGAAACCAGGAACATTTGTTTTCTCCTGCTGTGCCGCGCTAGAAACACACAAAATTGCAAAGGAGTTGGGACATCTCGACCCGCTCGTCGTGAATGCGGATATTGACATGGACACCATACAATCTGCCGCGCGACAGTTCCAGAGCGGCAAGGACAATTTTCGCTCAGCCTTTGTTCAACGCGTTGCGGTGGAGGGAAATTCCTTTCTTAACGCACTAAACGTGCTGCAGCAGACGTACCTGGACGGTGAGACACCACCGGCCGATTTAATCAACCAAAATATATTTCACGATTCCTATTTTTCAAAGTTGCGCATGCGTAAACGCCGACCGTTGTCGCCGCCACCCAGCGTGGGTACAGCGTTGCGAGCCGAAGGTGTCAGTGGTAGCACCACCTTTCTTTTACGTGTCTGGCGTGCTTTGCGATGCTTCGTGGTAGTGCAGCTGTCGTTACTTAAGGCATCAGAGCATCGCCCATTCACGTACTTGCAGCAAGTAGGACCTTTGCTCGGTCCGATTCTTGTTGCGCTTCCATTCTTCAGCCAAAATCGCATTGTGAATTTGTTGGGAGATCTGCTGAACAAAAAAAAGGGTGACGACGACGACGAGGAAAGTGCTCTGGAGGGACGGCCGTTGTTTAAGCTGAATCACCGTGTTGTCGCAGCTTGTGACAGTGACAGTGACAGTGACAGTGACGAGTGCCATGAAGTGCCACCCGCGGAAAAAGAGTTGGCACGCCTTATCAAAATTTTTCCTCTGATTTTTGAGAATGAGGAGGTGGTGTTGCGGCAGCTGCGTGAGCAGTACATTGCTGTGACCGAACGGTGAGGGGTTCTGCGCTGCGATGGGTTACGCGTAGTCTTTGATGTGTAATATGGACTCTTTTTTTTATTTATTTATGTTTTTTTTTTTCTGCTGACTGCCTGCTGCCGTTGGTGAAGCGAGAAGCTTCTCGTAAATGAACGGAATAAGAACGGGGCAGCAGAGGAATTAATTTCTCTTGCAGTTGTGAGAGAGCTTCAACTCTTTTTTCTTTTCTTTTTTTTCTTTTTTTTTCTTTTTTGCGGTTCTTTGACGTACATGCGGAAGAACAGACAGAAGGGCGATACGTGTGGAAACAGGACGGTTGACTCATGTCGACATTGGAAAACTGCACGGATGCGTTGCTGCAGCAGAAGGTGGTGCAGGCCAGCAACTATGAGCGACTGGAATCCCGACTGATGGAAATGGAGCGTGCGAAGCGATCTCTTTTTTTTGGCTTGAAGGAAATTATCACAGATGTGGAGCGCCGTCGAAAGGATTTGGGAGAATTACAGGAGGAGAGTACGCGGCTGCAGCACCAGTTACAACAGGGCTCAGTGAAATTCAGCGCACTTGCAGCGTTTATGGGCGAGGAACAGAAAAAGTCCATGCGCCTGCAAGAGGCGTTGGAGAGCTATGCCACCGCATGGACAGGATGCCCAGCACGTGCGGCCTTTCTTCTTCGAGCGCTACAAGAGCGTAGCGCTTTTTGTCGTCAATTGGCAGATGTTGTTACAGCATTGAATCGTGTACGGGCCCTCGTGGAAGTGGTACAACGCGTTGACGTCGCGAAAAGTCTCCTACAAGAGCGGTTGGACCGTCTCGAGTCTGAAGCGGAGCGGCTGGAGGCTGCGCTGCGGGAGAGTCACAAGAAGCAGGAAAACTTGCAGGAGGATCTGCGGGGGCGCAACAATGTCGCACAGACTGACGCCATGCGGCATGGGCGGATTTCCAGAAAAAGGAACGCCCAGCTGCTGACACTGAAAGTGGCGTGCAAAGGGGGCACATGTACGCTCCTCTGCGGAAGAGGGACTGAACGCCGTGTACAGAATGGCGTTACAGGCGGCATTATCCATTGCCGATGCGTGCTGCGACAGGCGGGATCAGATGGCGGTTGTTTCAAAGTTCAAAGAACGTCTCTGCACCTTGGGGCGGGACAAAATAACCGCTGTAGAGACGCGAACCCGCATTTTGACAGATGTCTTGACGAAACGTTTGGCGGATCTGAACGCGCAGAGAGAGAGTGTCGTGATGCAGCGTGAGCGGGCGCTGCATGAGACAACATTGTCACGCGAGAGGCAGGAGACGATGCGCGGGACGGCGATCACCGTGGAGCACCGCATGGAATTTCTCCAGCTTATGCACTCGGCCCTTCAGGTATTTTTCCGGAGGCAGCGTGCACGTCTTTTTCAAATGCACCGCGAACGGGCTGAAAGAGAAGCAGCTCTCGTGTCTGCAAGAGCAGCACATGAGGCATTCGTGTTGGCCCGGCGGTTTCGGTCCTTGCAACAAGAAGCTCGCGAGGGGTTTGTGGCAGAGGAGTCACTCGTTCGGGGAACTGTTGAGGGAAATGAGATGGACGAACGACGTGGGATTCATGAGCAGGCAGCGCAGTCGTTTTTAATGGCATGCACGAAGGAAAAAGCGAGGAAGGAGGAGATGGAAAGGAAAGCAGCTGTGGCAGCCGCGTCTTTGCCAAAATCACCACCAAAAATACTACAGCGGAGGACTGCAGTGACGAAGGAGACGGATGACATGTGTGTGCACTCTCTTCGTCAGATCACTCCAAAGAAAACGGCGAATACACGACGAAGCCGTGCTGCCAATGCTGTGCCGCACACGGATAAGAAGCGTCCACGCAGCCACGCCGTTTTATCGGCTGCCACTGTCGCTCGTCGGACGTACCCGGCCTCCACACAACAACAAGAAGATGAGGCGAACGATGCGGCGTCGGATTCTTCCTTGAATTCGCTGGGCGAGTTCTTGACTCTTGGCACTCGTGTGCCACTCAGCGCGCTGAAGTCCACTGCACGTCGCGCCCCGCTGCAGCCGCTCCCAACGAATGTTCTCGCTGGCGGTGGAAGTGGCAAGAAGAAAGACGGCTCAAAAAAAGGCCTGACGGATGCGGCAGTGCGGCGTGTTCATAACAATTCTCCCCTCCCACGGCCACCTGGTAGCGGCAATGCTTTGTGCGCTCTCAGCAGCGCACTAAGCTCCGCGTTTGCACGCACAGGGGATGCTGCGGGAACAAATACTCCAAAAAGTAAAAACCGTCTCGAGGCAGGGAAGCCCCGTCCATCCATTCTCGTTTCAAAGGATGCATGGGGTGAAGGGAAGGCAGATGACGTCTTTGCCGATGTCTTTTCATTTTAGTGCTTTTTTGCTTTTGCGTTTGCGTTTCAATATATATATATATATATTTTTTTTCTTCTTGTCACAACTGTGATAGAAACAGACCACTTTTTTTTTTTTTTTTAAATGTTTGCCCCTTTTGGGTGTAGTGCTTATTTGTTTTTTTGTTGTTTTTCGCAGGTGAGAGTGGGTGGAGGAGAGAGTTATATATATTTTGTTTCTTTGGGCGGGTGGTGTTTTAGGGTTTGTTGGG